CCTGGCAATACTGTTGGTGGGGGGAGTATGAGTGGAGAGAGAGCGAGAGAGGGAGGGAAAAAAAAAGGGGCTGAGAGCCCGCCCCTGGGGCTGTCAGATGGCTTGGGTTTCTGCGAGGTGATTGGCTCGGGGAGGGCAGAAATTACTCAGCAAACATGACTATTATTAGCTGCTTAGCAACAGCTCACCAAAGTAGAGAGACCACCCAGGCCGGCAACCCTTGTGTGTGCATCTCCAGCTTCAGGGGGAGTCTTAAAGAGATCCAGTCTTCTTTGCATGCAATACTTCCATTAAGGAATGCCTTCTCCCTCTTTCTTCTTCGTTTTCTTTTCAAGAGTGTTACTCCCCCCTCCCCTTACTCCCCTCCCCCGACCCCCGTCCGGGATGCTTGCAAATACACGCGCGGAACTTGCTCGCCAGGGACATACAGAAATACATTTTTCCCTTTTAAGAAAAAGAGAGGGAAACGAAGAAAAAGCAGCATTAAACGATTTCTAAAGGCCTTAAAAGAAAATCCTTTTAGAGGCACTTTGGCCTCGAGCTGCAACAAATACTGGGAGGTCCGAGCTGAATTCCCAGGCTTGCAGGAATAATGACAGGGTGGTGGATATTGCGGTAGAAAGTGCCAGATTTTTCTCCCTCTCTCTTTTTAACTAAAGAGGAGACTTAGTTCCTTGCAAGAAAACCACTCCGTGCACTTAGAAAAACACAATGAAAATTTAACACTTAAGGGATTTAAAGCCGCGCGGTAGCTAGCTGTTTCAACTTAGGACTCATTCTTTAACTGAAACCCGAGGAAAGCCAGTTCTGATGTTTTTAGTGTAAAAGTCCGTGAAACGCAGCCTGACTGGCCGCGCTAAACATTTCTCGAACTGCACGCGATTGTTTACTTTTTTGGCACCGCTTCTCCGCGTCTCTCTTCATTGAGAATCAGACATTAATTGCTGCCTCTGGAGCTGCGCGCGTCCCCCCGCAGCCCCGAGCTCGGCCCCGGTGCGCAGCGCGGCTCCCCGCGGAGGCAGCTGCGGGCCCTGGCGGACACCCATGGGTACCGGGGCGGGGGCAGCAGACAGTGCTGCCTTCCTCGCCCGGCCCGGGCCGGGGAGGTGCTTTGGGTGGCTGCCCTCCTGCAGCACGGCTGCTACACGCCGGCGGAGGAGAGCGGCTGTGAAGAGATCGGGAGCTGGAGGGGGGGTGGGAGAAACGCAGCGAAGAAGAGAGGGGCATGGGGACCCGAGGTGAGAAGAGAACCCCGTGCAGCCCCTGCCCGGTGCGGTGCCCGGCTCGACAAACCCGCCGGCACTGCGCAGCTTTCCCTTCAGCCCCGCCGTGCGTGTACCTGGGGCAGTGGTCCTGAGCTAAATCCCTGAGCCCCTGGTCACTGCAAGCGTCCTCCTCCCCTCGGCGGGCTGGCGACCGCCCTTAGCGGGGCCGTCCCGGCGCCGGCCACGCCGGCTGGCAGCGTTCCGGGAGCCGGGGCCGCCGGCGGGAGCGAGCTGCGCACCGCGCAGCACCGATTTCTCCGTGAGACTGCCTAAAGGCACCAATGGTCAGGACCTTTCAAGGGCCAGACCCGCCGGCTAGGGAGTCCCTTTTTCCTTTGATTTCACCCAACTCCGTTTTTTCCCACCCTGGGAAACTTGTCTCCGTGAAGGCCCTGCCCTGTGCCCCGCACAGGACTGTCTCCAGGAAAGCTGCTAGGAGCAGCAAGCTGTCATGCACGCACACGTAGGTGCGTACGTATGGGAGAAGAAAACCTGAAGCGGTTGCAGCTGGAGGCTGTTTTCTGTTTGAGGCTGAAACCTGCTCCCGGGGTGCAGTCGGCCACCTCCAATTCAAGTTTCCACTTGCGACAGTGACCGGGCATCTATCTAGGAAGTGATGTGACAACTATTTCTGGAAGTGCTCAACCGCACCGTGTCTGATCGGGTAGTAGGGCAGGGGAATGGAGAAAAAAGGGATGGGTACAGAAGCATTTTGGTTCAGCCTCCTGGTAGGCTCCAAAGCCAGGGAAGACTGTCCTTTCAAGCACCTGGAATCGCCAGCACTGTCCTACATGCCTCCTGCCTGCTAGTCTTCACACAGTAGCCTAAAACCCATTCTCACTGCTGGTTCCAAAACTCTATCTGAAGGCTCAAATTTAACAAGCATTGTCTTAATCTCCCCTCTCTCCCTGTGGTCTGGAAGATTTTTTTTTAAAGCATACACAAGAGATTAATTACTGCAGAGATCTAATTGGTCTCGTTTCTGGGATGGGTGTGTGTATGTATGTTGGGGTTTTTTTCCCCTCAAGGAAGAAATGTCAGTGTAAAAGTCTCCACTTGGGTGGTCAGAGCAGTGGCTGCCCCCAGTCTGCCTCATAGCTGATGCCTGCTTGCTACATTCCTGGCAATACTGTTGTTCCTAATCAATCTGCCCTTATTTACATTTGTAAGCACTGCTGACTGTGATATGCATGCCCTGAGCATGCAACTGCTTCTCCACGCGAAGGGCTATCTCCACCGTCAGCAACTCAAGGGGATCTCCCACATTTCTTATCTAGGACATGCTATATGGTGAAGGCCTAGGAAGTTGTCTCCTTATGTAGAGGGACTGCAATCTACAACCATTCATACCTGTTCCTTTCAATGCCTAGACAGCCCAGGCTGGTGTACAACAATTTCAACATTGACTTTAGTCGGCTTCATTTTGTAATGCTCTGCCTCTTGCATACATTCTCTTTGTGGTCATAATCCCTGATACTGCAGAGCACTTCTCCAGCCAGGTAAAGGACCAATCCAATAGAGATTAACAGTGGGTAACAGATATTTACAGTGATGTTAGTTTAACACGTTTTTTCCAGGTTGCTCTTCACCTGCAGACACCCATCAAAAACATTTGCACTGCTGGAGCATCTGATTACCCTAATAAAGAAAAGACAGAAATGAAGCACAGCCATTTTGGGTTCCTTTTGTACGGTTTACAAGAGTGCTGACCCTGGGAGAAGACCGACTTATGGGAAAATAGTTAACTTTTGTACTCCCTCAAATTTTTGTCTCTCACACAGGTGTGCATCCCACAAGTGCACAGGGCCCTGTGCTCCGCCCGCACACCTGATTCCGGCTCTGACATGAGATCACAGTCACTGGGTTCTTGCCGGGCAGCCTGAGCCTCGCTGTCCTTTTCCACTCGGAGTGCCGTGCTGGCCACCGGGCCGGCGGGGGTTGCCGTCGGGGGGCGGCGGCGCGCAGCGGGAGCTGCTCCGCAGGGCAGCGCCGCCGCTCAGCGCCCGCGCCTGGGGAAGGAGGCGGGCGGCCTCTCCCCCTCCTCAGCCCTGGAAGAAAGGGAACTGCTCGAGCCAACTTGTCAAAATAATGCGGCTAATTACCCCTGATCTCCTTTAATGGAAAGCTGCTCTGCACGCCACAAAGGAGCAAATGAGGGATCTACAGCACCAACCCAGGAGCGCTGGCATTTTCTTCTGCGGAGGGCTGCGGGGAAATGTGCCTCCAGAGGAGTCTCCGAGGCTTCTGGGCTCCTCCCGCACAGCAGCGGACTCCCAGAGGAGAAGAGCACGCGGGAAGCTGCGGAAGACATTGGATGGAGGAACAGCCCGCTCCGTCCAAAATCACAAGGACATCCCAGCCCTAGTAAACTTTATCATATTCCACGAGGAGCTTTACCTCTATAAACCCAAGTAGATTCTTTTCTTGGCAAAATGCCCCGTCACTTGCAGGACATTAATGTGCATTGAGAGGGGAAAGTTACACTGAACCTTTTTTAGCCAGCCTGGACAACACCGGGTCTGTGTTAAGATAGAGCTCAAGTTTTGCATGTGCCAGAAGGCAGGGCATTCCCTTCCATGATCTCTGCCATCGGGCTCTGAAGAAAAAAAAAGCTGAACGACACAATCTCTTTGACCCACTGCTGGAGCAACAAATTTATTAGAGATATAGGCGTGAGAAATGAAAAGGAAGTAAAACAATTCAGGCTCATTGTATGTCTTTCTTTCATACTGCTAATCCGGTTTACACATCACGCCTACATGTCTCAATAGGGCTTTATACACTGTGGCAAAGGCAGAACAAAATAAAAGGTGTGTGTGTGAGTGTGTGCGTGCATGTGCATGTGTGTGTGAAATAAGGATAAAAAACCAGAAGCCTAAGACATTTTAATTCAGACTAGGCTGCCAGTTTTATATCTACAGGCTCTTAAAATCTAACAGATTTTAAAAGATTTCTTCTCTCCTCCCTCCTCAGCCCTAATATTTCTAAACAGCACTACCTGCTGATCAGATGCAATGTCATGTTACAATTCAGACGCACAATGCCCCCAGTAGCCCTAACCAGAAACTGGATACACTTATGAGACTGGTGCTGAAACAAAGTAAGACTCTAGCTGCTAAAGGCTGTCTGGTTAGGAGCTGTGAAACTTTGGCTCCCAAACCCACTTTGGCTCCAACACTCCTTTTAAAACCATCCGACGATACCAGGTGTCTCCCCAACCCCTCCGCGCTTTTGCCCCCACCCAGGTCTAGCTCCCGTAGTGGGGCTAAGGGATCGGAGAGGGTGAGACCTGCCACTGAATATCCTCCCACTCTCCAGTCCCTGGAAGCAGTGAGACAGCAGGCACGAGACCGATTCCAGCAGCGCTGTACCGATCCTGATGGTGCCCGGTGCCAGCCACACGAGTCCTGAAGCCGGAGGCTGAAGCCAATGTTGACTTCAACCTAAGGCGGTCCTTGTCCTGTAGAGCCTAGCCCCAGAGAAGT